TTCTCCTCTCTACTACATCGTCCATCTGCCGCTGTAACTCATCCTGAAGTTCTTCTGCCTGCCGGATTTCTAAGTCCTCCGGCGTGAGTGGAGACCGGCTGACTCGCACATGACCAATTTGACTAATGGGAACCTGAGAACCACTCTGACTGACTCCTGAAGAAGTGGGCTGTGTAGAGGGTTGCGTCATAGATGAGGTAGCCATGGCTGCACTGATACTAGCTGAAACTCTAGCCCTAGCATTATCCTCAGCTGCCCTCACTCTCCTTGCCGCTGCCCTCTCTCTAGCCTCTCTCCTCAATCTTCTCTCGTCTCCTGGACCTAACTCCAAGAATGTCAAGGGTCGACTGCGGGCAGTCCCGCGAGTAGTCCTACGGTCGTCCACTAGTAACTCCTCACTTGTGCTCGCATCACTCATGAGCTACAGTGTGTGTGATCTAAACTAGAATCTACACTGAATCCTACCTTAGCTTGACACACATCCGCATATGATACACAACTACTTACGGTCGGCTGGAACAGAAATAGTTAGGTGATGTAGTTGCAACTAATGTCAGGTCCCACAGGATATATTAATTCTATTTTTGAATTACCCTGGAACAGATTGCACTACAGCAAAGATCTAATCTATTTGTAGCCGTATGTCAGTTGTTAGCGAAGTCTGTCACAACTAGATAATCAAAATAAAAAAAACATCCCCTGTTGGAGATGTACACTGAATGGCAGATTGTATGTTGAATGCCACTGCGAACAGTTACCGGGATTTCCCCTCCCCCTGTTTCCTTCTTGAGTAGTCACTTTGTGTCAACGTCCCTGAGCATCTGGTTGAGCAGCGTGTCTAAAGGTGTGCGATCCGGTCCCACCCCTGTGCCTCAAGTCATCGTCGAGCAAGGCAGCCCCATCACTCTTATTTATCCTCGTACGCCGACGAGCCTTACACCCGGTTAATCTGGCTGATCAGGAGGATTATTAAGAGCGCCCCCATCTCTTCAGGAATTATTTAACGTCGCAGTCAGGACGACGATCACAGCCAGATTCAATCCGAGTCCCTAATCAGAAATGTTTATAGACGGTCTGGTGAGCGTCTCATAGAGGCTGCCATGCCCGAGTTGACCCCTATTTGCGCAAGCAGCAGATCCAAGGACTTGCGCCCAAGCATGCGTGTACTAGTCCCAGCGGGTTGGCATGGTGACCGTGACCCGAGTGCTTCGTCCAGGGCCCTTCAGAGGCTTCGCCCGTCTCCCACCAGCTTGCTGCCCAGGAAGAGTGTCGACTCTCAAGGTTGAGCGCTCGCGACACCTCACATCGAGAGGACTCTCGAGACAGAACTGACTTCCTCACGGTAAGAAGAGATGAAGAGGGTAGATAAGGAAGAGAGCAACGTACCTTATAATGCTGCCCCCAACCACAGATTTCTCACTGGTAACCTGATGTGCAATTCCCAGATCACATCATCACATTGCAAGCCAAATAGTCACACCATGTCCAGATAGCAGCATTGCACCAATAATACACCAATGGAGTTTTGTAGCACTGAAAACCAATGTCCGTGGAGAGCACACTCTCTCCTCTCAACAATAGAGTCCAGTTCCCTTACACTCACACTTGGCGCTCAGCGCCCAGCCTACTCCTACACAGCTACTACAGACTACAAAAAGACAATGCAACTGTTGA